TTTATGATGGTCGATACTTGATCTATCTTTTACTGTTACATCCCCGAGCAACGCCGGGCTCTACAGCTAGTCATTCATAAATGAAAAGTTCATTGAAATTGGTTCACGAGTTAATGTTTCCATAAACATTTTAGATTTTGTGTTTGTAAAAACTCCCAATGCCAAAATTAATATTCATGGAGAATTAGCTTAATCACAATTTCCAACAATTGTTGCACCCAACTTTTATGTAACTTTATAAAAAAAAATAAAGGGAAAAGTTCTTGTATTTTTCTCAATAACAGAAGTATTGAAGAAATCATAATTTTAATTTTGTGGATGCATTGCTATGTGATGAGTTCTACGACTTCCTATATTACTAACATTAGTTGTTATTGGTTGCTTTAGTTTCATTACAACCAATCAGAAGTCACTTTTTATGTGTACATCTGGCACTAAATTCAGCATCATGACTTAATGCTTTCAAAAGAGATTTCAAACTGGAAAAAAAAACCCAAAAGGGTTACGAATTGATCAGAGCAAAATTGTTTGGATTTTTAAGTCAAAGATGAGCTTTACTGGCCAACAACAAATATGGTGGCACACATCAGAAGACAACAGCCAACATAGAAGAGGGAAAGATTAAACAAGATCATGTGTGACAGTTTTAAAAACAGACATTTTAAAAAGTATATTATATAAACAAATATATGAAAATGGGAGGGAAGAGAAAGGAAAGAAATGTTAAGATACTTTTCAAAATGTTTGTTTTTTTAAAGCTGCAATAAAATGTTGTACCCATCCCAAATAAAAATTATTTAAGATAAGTTGTCCACAATCAGAAGTCAAACGTCAGGCCATTTACAGCTTTTGGATGCTTTTAAAATAAAATTGGCACTTTTACAGCTACAACCCACACTGCCATGTTCACTGTGGCAAACCAACCTCATTCTCTTTGTATTGCATCCAAACAACTCCTTCCTCAGAGCCTTTAATTGGTCTCTTTAAGTTCAGTGTCAACCAATATCTATCCAACTTGTCCTCATAATACTCTCTTACTTCTCCCACCCTTACAACAAACTCACCCAGTAACCCTCTAACTTGAGTGGCCTTTGAGCCTTGTATTGGGTGAACTAACAGAAAAAAAAAATCACACTGCATGCAACTTGGAATATCGGTGTTTATTGTACTTAACATGTGCCCATATATGATTAATGAGAGTCCAGGTTTTTGCCACCTAATTTGTCCTAGTGTCAGTTTTTGGGGTTTTTTTTTTTTTTTAACTATTTAGAAATGACAGAAAATGAAAATATCTGAAATATGTTACAAAACTTCCAAGTTCTCATCTAAAAATCAAGAAAGTACAAACTTTAATCAAAATGGTCACAATATATGGGTGGGGGGAGCGGAGTGTTGGTTTAAACTGATGCCAGGAGGAAACAAGTTAATGTTCAGGATGGAAAAATATGTGATACCATCAAAATACCAGAGTAATTGCAAAACTCTTGCTGTGACACAAAAGAAAAAGAAATGAGTGATATATTCCAGGCTTTGGACGGCTGCACATTGAGGGCAACTGAAAACTCCATCCCCAACTTGATGAGAAATGACCATAATTAAAATTTTCAGCATTGCATTTAATACACAAATAAAAACAGATAGATCCCTCACCCAAAGAGGATAACAAGGTGAAATTATTAAGGAGTTTAAACATACACACCACACACACATATATATATATATATATATATATATATATATATATATATATATATATGTGTGTGCAATTGATCATTTTCTTAATTATTTTTGTTTTACAGCCAGAAATTATTTTTAGATTGGAAGAATTTTTGGGAGATAATGATTTTACCGATACAAGTCATACTAATTAACCCATAGCAGAAGGGAAGGATTCATACCTTTTGAAAGGGTGCAAGCGAAAATAACGAACCCAACTTTCCATTTCCAAGCTGTTATTCATTATCCCACCAGCACATCCAAGCTTACAACACCTGGTATTACTCAAGTGGTCACCCATCTAGATACTGACAAGGCTCAACATTGCTTAACTTTAGTGATCATACAAGAACCAATGTTTCAATGTAAAATGGCCATAAGCCGGTGTGTGTATATATGTATATAATAAGTGGATTTTAATTAATAATCCAACATATTTTAATGCTGTGGAGACATGCACACCCGTCCAGAAGAGGACTTAGACTCATCAAAATACACATAAACTGATGTTGAGAAAAGTAGATAGCTTCTTTTTCTTGAATATCTGTAAAACTCTTGGATTGGAATGATTAAAAGTTTTATCCAGAATAGATAAGTGCATATCTATCCATTTATCTTTGCTTGTTCATATCTATCTATCAATATCTATTTGTTTGTGGAGATAAAGACACCTCTTCAGAATAAGACTTGGATTCATCCAAATACATATAGACTGATGCTGAGAATCATCATCAAAAGAAAGGAGAGAAAAAGTAGATAGAGATAGTGCTTACTACAGATTTCAGCAAGACTACATCGAAAGTGACATTCTTTTTCTTGATTGTGTCATCTTCATTCAATGCAATGATGTTAAACGTTATTTTTAGTGGATATCAATTATTTAAGTAGACACACTGCTTATTTTAAATAGTGTTTTATTTTGTTTATCAATCTGAACATTTGCAAAATTTTATTTTAAAAAAAAAAAAAAAAAAGTGCCCTCCAGCAGGATTTGAACCTGCATCCCCCACTTTGCAGAAAAAACCACATAGCTACTAAGAGCTTCCCAATCAAGCAATGTTCTGCCTTTAAAGCACACTCACTCATTCAGATTGATGTGAGAGATTGACTCCAAAAATAAAAAGCAAAACTAATCTTTGTAATGTTTTCATGTTTATTCAATATTTTTCCATAAACACCAGATTATTCCCAATGTATATCCGTCCTTTCATAATTCTCTTAGTAGCAACAATATTTGCCATTAGCCAAAAGTTAAACACTTTAATAAAAAAATAAGTAGCAATTAATATAGTTTTTTTTTTTTTTTTTTTTTTTTTTTTAAATTGTACAAGCAATAGGCACCTTGGCATAAGGTATGGATTAGTGAGGTCAGTCTAGTTGACCATTGCTACCAAGTAGTAGGTTCGATCCTCACCAAGTGCCCCATATAACATTCAATATTACATGACAGGGATTGTCATATCATAAAATCAACCAACCACTTGTAAAAGTCGCTTCAATTTCAAACTCATTTTGTCAACATTTTGATCTTTTCAAATGTAAATGTCATTTAAACATTCGTTGTTTTCTTTCAAAACTGTATATAAAAAATTTATTCTTTACAATGAAAAATTTTTCATTGTCCTTCAAACAATAAACAAAAGTGATATTAACAGAGAACATATGTGTATGCCTATTTTCAAGAGGAGAAAATCTATTAAAGCATTGCATACATCTTAGGGCTTTCAGAAAGTACTTATGTATTTTACTGCAATGAATTAGGAGTCAACAAACCAAAGAATTAGTATCAAATGGTAGAAAATTGCAAGTACAAGTAGTTTATCTTTTCTTCTAAAGGGTGTTCCAATAAATTGACCAATTTTAAATGTGAATTAAGTTTAAGCGTCTAATGATTTTTTCTTTTTCTTTCAGATTTAACAACTTAAGTCTTTGGCAATTTCAACCATGGAAAGATTAACAATCAAACAACGTGTTAAAGTTATTGAAGCCTATTACGAAAAAGGACGTTCAAACAGAAATGCTTTTCATACACTTTGCGATTTTTTGGGTCAACATAATCAACCAACCGAGAATGCAATTAGAAACGATGTAATGTCGTTATGGAGAGGTTCAATTCCTGTGTGTAATGACAAATAGAGGTATCTGGATTTTCGGCAACATTCTCATGCACTGCAGCAATGTTTTCAGCTGAACGGCGTAAACGAGCATGCAACTGCCACCGACCCAGTTTGTTTGAATTTATGAACAATTTTTCAATTGCACTCTTGAAACTTTAACACATTTGATTGTTAATCTTACCATGGTTGAAATTGCCAAGGACATAAATTGTTAAATCTGAAAGAAAAGAAAAAATCATTAGACACTTAAAATTAATTCACATTTAAAATTAGTCCAAGTTATTGGAACACTCTTTAGAAGAGAAGATAAACTACTTCTAGTTGCAATTTTCTACCATTTGATAATAATTCTTTGGTTTGGTAATAGAGAACATGTTATTCTGCAGCATAACAATGGATGGTCACACACTCAAAGATGGTTAGGATGGAAGGTACTTTCAGATTTACATTTGATTCAATCACTAAAACATTTTATAAATGACCAAACATTTAGAAATAAGTTGAAAACAGTTATAAAACTTTTGAGGAAAACCCAGATTTCTTTCAATGAGGAATTGAAAAGATGTCTTTGTGTTGGGGAGCAGTCATTAAAAATGAAGGTAGTTATGTTTTTGATGATATTTAAATAAATTTCACTTACATTTGTTTTTAAATCCTTTCTGAATATCCTAAGAATTATAGGTGGAGAAAATCTATTAACAAAATTATGCATATTTTTCAGTTGTAAAAATCTCGACATATATAGATACACTAAAAAATGTATTCACACCTTTTTTTTTCTCTCTCTCTCTCTATATATATATGTATGTGAAATTTCTGAGTATATATATAAAAGATAAATAAAAAATAAAGGATTAGCAAAAAATATGCCAGAAATATTTAAGAAAGTCTGGCTTATTTTGTACAAATTCCGAAGATTATCTTCATCAAATGTTTTCCAGCAAATGTTTTTTTTGTCTCCTGATCAATCTGCATATAACAAAAATAGACCACATATGAAAACATTTTATCCCATCTCAAAATTTGTGGTCCGTAGTTTTAAAAGATATATGTGTGTGTGTGTTCATAATCCAAGATGAAGATGTTACAATCAAGAGTTACATGTGGAAGACATCCGTGTAGCACTGCAAACCCCCCCCCCACCTCCGACCCCCATGCCATCTTTTCTCAGGGTGAACTGAAGAGTTTTCCCCGTATTTGATTCATTTTGATGTTCACTAATGGAGGTGGTTGAAAGTCCTCAACACCCATTTCATTCTCCATGGCTGTTAGGGGTTGCGAGTTCACTAAGGTGGGTGAGTTCACTAAGGTGGGCCGACTTTTTGTAGGTGTTGGCTTGGGATTTACCAACTCATTCTCCTTGTTATTCTGAAAATCTAGAGGATAGCATTTTCGACATACAGACAAATATTTATCTGCTCCCCCTATGATTTCAACCTGTGGAAAGAAAAAAAAGTAATCAAATAAACATGCTTTCATGTGTAACAAAAATATAAAATCTAAAAATAGAAGAGAATGGGAAGATTTACTGATTTCATCTGCCTGACATCCACCTATCTCCTATAACTATAGCAGTGACTTCTTATGGCCATTTTGGTCATCCTACCAAGAATTGAATTCACAAGTCAAAAATGGATATTAATAGAGAGAACAAAAAGAACCAGGTAGATTTAGAGGTTATTGTGACTTTCAAGTCTGTAAATGGGGATTTATTTGGACTATTGTTCTCATCTTTGTCGCCATATTTATTACAACATTTTGGCCGTTGTACGCTCCAGCCTTCTTCAGGTGGTTGGAATGTCAAACTGAACCCTTTATTCCGCTCACTGGGGTAGACTGTTCTAGTTCCACATGCCATGTTTAATGGATGTCAGTTATCAGTTATCTCTTGTTAATGTTCCCTCTGAAAGTTCTCCACTGCCTTAACTGGGTATTGAACTTGCACTCTTTGGGTCCTGTCACTGGATCTAACCAACGCCTTTATCCACTGTGCCATGTGTCCGAATAATGTAAATAATGTACATAATACCTCGTCTCAGAAATATAGACAGATATTTGGGGTATTTATGAATTTGATATTTTCAATGAGAGGGATTCTTTGGTTGCCTTATCAGCCCTGCTATTCCCAGGGATCCCAATATAACCAAGGAGGAAAGGAGGACCTTAAATCCCCTGACCTTTTATAGTCTTTATAGGAATTAACTAATGAACAAAAGGTTAATATTAAAAATAGCAACCAGCAAAAAATGAAACAAAAAGATAAATCAGAAAAAATGTTTCATAATAATAATAATAATAATAAAATAAATAAATTAAAAAAAAAAAAAAACTGCCATAGTATAAAAAAAAGGCAACAAGCCATTGTCATTGGATAGTTCACAATTGTGGATGTGAACCATTATTGGCCTAGTTCCCTAAAAAATTATTCACTGGAGGTTAATTTTGTTAAATCCTGAATCTTCATTACATCATGCTTAATACTAGAAATAAAATTGCTCCTAAAACCCCAGAGATAAAAATGATATTAGCTATGGGTATCTTAAATCAAAACTTATTCAAAATGGTCCTATTTCTCTAGTAAACACAAATAAAAATAAAAGGTAACATTTGTGATCAGGCATCAGAAAGAAAAAAAAAAGTGATTTCTAAACAGAAATGTCTTCTGAAATTTAGAAATTAGGACATTGGTTGGTGGGGGGGGGACTCATCATGTGACATGACTGCTTCACTTGGTTTGGGTAAATGCATGGATTGACCAGAGAAAGATATTAGTGCATTTTGATGGAGTCATCTGGAGTGCTGAGTCATTAGAGAAAGAACTAATCAAAGACGATCAGGATTTTGAAAAGGTGGCAAATGCTTATCAGTAGCAACCAGGATTCAGAGTTAATAGACCATAATTTTGGGGCCATTTTTCCAATAATTTTAATGATTAGATGAAAACGTATCTAACATCTAACCCAATTATTGCCATTAGCTCGGGAGCCCAAAAATAGCTCCTCTAGAAAAAGAATGCTGGTTATAAATCCTCCCGTGCTTTGCAAGACTAATCTTCATTATCTCTCATAAAAAAATTAAATTTTTTACATTGATCACACATGCAGCAACCTGTCTTGTAGGTTGGCTTGTCAAAACTTAGTGCAATTCAGGCACATATTGAACAAAAAAATCCCAACTAGTAGATCATACCAAAATATGATATTCACTGCAAGGAAAGATTCAAAATACTCAAAGGTATTATTAATCTTTAATTAAAAGCATGTATAAAATATATTAATATGCACATATTTGTAACAAAGTTCAGGTCTGTAAAACTGCATTACACATGGTGTCATTTAGAGGATAGATATTTGATTTTGATTTGAATTCTAGCATTAAAAAAATAAATAAAATGCCAGGATGTAGCCAACAAAATCTTGTCTACCACCCTGGCAACACCTAATTCTTTATAATGTCTGAGACAGCAGCTGAAAGTACTTAAAACAAAAAAAAAAAACAGTTTATCCACATTTTGATATCAATGTACAATAACTTATTCAAAAATGGTAAAAGTATAATAGAAATTGAAACGAATAAAAGTTATCAGTTGAATTTAATAAAATTTGTTTAAGTGAATTCTTGCTACACACGCACGCACTCCTGACTAATGCAGGTAAGTGAAAACTTCTCAGTGAAGCTGTAACAATTTCTGCCTTGTTGTTATCCAGATGGAATATTATGATTTTTATTTTAACAAAGTCTGGCTATTTTTCATCAAATACTGTCATGAATTTATCTAGGAACAACAGTATTTGTTGGAATCAATCATTTGGTTTCATCAGAAAGAGCTCATAATAGAAAACTCCTTTCTAATCTAACTGTATACACGGTATTACTTTCTTTAGATGAAGACTGGCAAGTGGTGGGTCATGTCATGGGTCCCATCATCTCTTGTATTATACCAATTATTGTAAAGTATCTAATAATCGTTGCCTGTCACAATTTGGAAAAAAAAAAAAAAAAGGATATTTTCATCTCGTTAAGCAGTAAATGATAGTCCACTGTTCTTTTGGCCTGGAATGGAAGCCACACATGAAAGTGCCTAACATAACCAAACAGGTGTAAATGATTTTCAACTAAGATTGATCATTCTTAAGTAATCTTCGAATTTTTACCTTTATAGGCATGATATCCAAAAATGGTACGTATTTTATTCCATCTTTAATCTCAGAAGCAATCAACATAAATATAGCAATTTCAACATTTTTTTTAAATCCACAATGCTGATATGACAGCAGTCACAATTAAAAGCAATCTTTTTAAATCAAATTAAAACTAAATCCTCCACCAGACACTTATAATTGCAAAAAACAGAAGGAACTTTTGTCTAACAAAAAAAAGAAAAAAAAAAAAATTCAGCACTTGCAATTCATTGATATGCAATTAAACAAACCTGTAGGTGTTAAATGTAGAGCTGGTGAATTTTTTTTTTTTTTTTTTTTTAAACTAGAGATAGAAAACTTCCTTGAAGCAATCAGTCCAATAACCAAGATATTCACAAAATAAAATTCATTGAAACAAATTCAGTGATTACCAGTTAAAGTAAACAAAATGTAGACGCACCTCTTTTTCCATTCCAATGCGTTTAGTAAACGATGCCTCCTTGGTGCAGTTCATACACACAGCCGTCAACTTGACAACACTTTCAGCTAATGGAATCAGTTGTAAAATATCACCAAAAGCCTTGAATCATTTAAAAATAAAAAACCACATTTCATAATAACAGATGTAAAAATGATGACATAGAAATTTGACAAAAAAGGAAAATAAAATATTAAGAAATCAAAATACATTTCACTATTTATGGATTCAGGACATTTAATCATCTAAGATAAAAGGAATTCTGAACAAATGGTTACTGCGCTATGTTATTGTAAACAATTAGATTGTTTGAATGAAGCACTGAAAAACAAGAGACTCTGGTGAGAGTAAGAAATTTGGCCAGTGACTTTACTATATACAAAATGCCTATACTCATGTTGTAAATATGACACATCAAGTGATAGACAAGCTGGCATGGGAAATTCATTCACATTCTCTAGAGACCTAGGATAAAAATTCCTTGAAGAATTTTTTTTTAAGTGGCCTGAAGTCATAGATGACTACAGAAAATGCTTTGGCAGTGAAATGATTTATACAAATAAATTCTGGAAACTTTCACAATAACCTGATAAATCCTACCTGATTAATTATTTTAGATGAAACTGAATTAAGCAGGGAAAACTAAATCCGAGACACATTGAATAAAAATTATTCTAGCCTGCAAGATTTGCTAATGTGAGAATATTTTCCAAATTATTAGCAATTGGGAGAGATCAAGTTACCAAAAATTACCAGTAAAATTAATTTTATTGTTTTTATGTCCATCCCTACAGAAAGATATAATTTCAGATCTTCTTTTATTTGCAATTTACATCTATCAAAATGAAGAAAATTGTCTGAAAATTTTCATCTAATACGTGAAAAAAAAAGGAAAAAAAAAAAAAGAATTGCTTCTTATGGAAAAACAGTGTAAAAACAAAGAATTATTTACACTACTTATATTTGGGCTATTGTCCTTATTTGTGTTGTTGTTGCTATCACAATGTTTCAACCATTGTGCCCTCCGACCTTCATCAGGTATATATTGATCCAGGTAACCTAGAGGGAATTCTGAACTGAACCCTTTATTTAATCTACAGGGGTAGACTGTTCTCATTCCACTGCCCATGTCCAGTTCTTATTTCTAGTAAAAGCATTGGTTCATGAATTTGGTGACATAACAATTGTGAGTTCAATCCCTGGGCCAGTCAGTGTATACTTGGACTCAGTGGAAACAGGCAAGTAATAACTGAGCAGTACTAATATCCCGAGACATGGACAGTGGAACAAGAATTGTCTATCCTTGTAGATTAAATAAAGGATACAGTTCAGAATTACATATAGGTTACCCAGCTTGATAAACCCCCAAGGAAAGCTGGAGGGCACAACAACCAAAATGTTGTGATAACAACAACAAAGATGAGGACAATAGTCCAAATATAAATAGTGATAATGATAACTCCTCATCCCAGAAATTCAGACAGAAAAATAAATTTGAATATTTTTGGAGAATGTCAATGACTGATTTAATATTATCTAACTTTCTCTTAATTCTACTAATTCAAGTTTTTAATGTTTTTAGCAAACATATCTCATGAGTGTTTGTTAATTAAAAAAAGACTTTTTCTAAAAAATAAAAAAAAAATTTTTCTTTTTAAAAATCACCTTTTTCTCAAAAGTTGCATCAAGGGCTGCCACCAAAACAATTTTGCCTTTTTCTGCCATTTCATTTGCAAATGTGACTATGTCAGGAAACTTGTAAAAAAAGAAAAAAAATTTCTTCATTATGTTTTGTTGACTGTAAAATAATTGAAGACTAAGTGAATGAATAAAGTGTCTATCATTTAAATGATAAAATAATTGAAGACCAAGTGAATGAATCAAGTGTCTATCATTTAAATGATGAATGTTACATTTTTATTTTTGCATTCAGTTGAAAACATTTACCTTACACTCTTACTCACAAGGTACAAAAGTTCATTTTAGTTCAGGGAAATATGACAAAGTCAGTTTTCAATACCAGTTGAAATGTATAATTGAAAAACAACTTCATTCCATTAAAATATCTCAACTGATCTAAGAGGACTTGGAACATTAATTACAGAAATTTAAAAAAACTTAAGGGTTCCCAGAGATCTATGTAAAAAGAAAATCCAGGACTATATTAAAAAGTTTCAAGGACTCTCACACACGCACACACACACACACACACCCACACGAAGTGAATGGTCATCAATTTCAAAAACACAAACTTTGTTATTTATCTTTTAATAGTTTAACAGATGAGATTTCCAAAGAAAATTTACAGCAGGTTCTAATAATTCATGTCACATGGATCAGTTGAATGCAGTGAAGAAATCAAAGTGCTGAAGTCTAAAACACAACAGACCTGGTTATGTTACATATTTTGTGTAGCATTCTACAATTTGGAGTTCTACTACACTTGAAAATTTTGAATAACACACTTTAATTCTTACTGCTACACATTTCAGCTATCTAGACAGTCAAATGGTTTATGAATGTCACAAAAATCTTGATTGCTGCACATTTCCTGTGAAATATAACAGTTTTAATGAATAGAACTACAAATAGAAATTTTCACAAAAAGACGACACATTTTAGCTTCCCCTACTACTCATGGCTTTCGTTGCACATGGCACAGAACACAATGATGTTAACATTTTTATCAGTTCATTTAGTTTAGCATTCAGCTCCTCTTCCAGTTTTGATATCTCTATGGATTTGTCCTTTGCAGATCTTTGTATGGCATTGGACTTTGCAATAAGTGGGAAGTTCTAAGTCTGTTCAGCTTTCTCCACATAACTATCAGCTGACATGCAAATCTTGTGTGCAACTTTCAAGCTTTTTTTTTTTGGTCTTCAGTTCTTCAATTTCCATAAGCATGGATTTCTGTTTTTGTCCTGCAATTTTTTCTCAAGGTATTGGTTGTATGCTGTTCTGGCATTGGAAGCACTGCAGAGAAGGACCTTCATCATGGGAGCATTCCCAGCACCTCCAACTGTGGCTAAATATTCCCTGTTAATGTACTGTGCAACCAGAGTCTGCTGTTTCATATTGTTGGTAGAAATTTCCTTATTGACTAAGAAACCTCTCTCGACTGAGGCCTGTCTATGAGAGAGTGCCAGCAATCTGCGAATAACTTTCCACAGATTTTGATAATCTTTGTTGCTAGACAAAGAGTAGAACAAAGTGTCCAGATGGTCTTCATGCTTGCTGAAATTCTTGAAAGCAATATTTCCAGCAGCCTCCTCCTCAAACTCTTTGTACTGACTGATGATGTCATCACAGTTTTCTGACCATCATGTGGGAAAGACATCCTTTTCTGTTTTCTGTGGCTGATTTTTTTCATAGATGGATCCAGGGTTCAGCCATGCAAGTGACCTTACAAGAGGGTATCTAAGGGGAGACTTTGCCAGAAATTTCTCAATGATGGTGACAAACATTGTCTTTGTTGCAATTCTGCATGTAAACACATCTTTTGTTGACATATTTCCTTTTTTGGATAAATTTTGCATAGCCTTATCTTCCAGAAATCTACAATTGATCTTTACAGCATCTTTATGCATGTTTGGGTTTGACAAAATTCTTACAAATTCATTCAGTTTGGAAAATGTATTTAACTTTTTAGTGTGCTCTTCCTTTACAGTTTCATGATCATGCTAAAAAGATCATCTGCAAGGAAAGGAAACAACAGTTTTATTTATCTGATATTTTATGCCAATTGAAAATGGCTAAAGAAGTGGCTGAAAGTGCTTGGGACAATGAAAATTATGGAAAATTTTTGTACTCCCCTTACTCCTACAAAACACAAAAATGTAAGGAAGCTGGAAAAACTAAATAAAAAATTAATAAATCTTCCTTGTCTGCCATATTTAATAAAAAGATTTTTTTTAAATATTGCTGCCCGTTTATATATATATATATATATATATATATATATATATATATATATATATATATATATATATAAAGCAGAGTGGACATTAAGATTTTATTTTATCTACATTATTTAAAACTTGAGAAACAACTTGTAAAAACATTAAAAAACACAAACAAAATGTATAAATCAAATACAGCAGATAACAATAAAAAAAACACAAACAAAATATAAGACAAGTAATATGAATGAACAGACATCCACAAAGATTTGATGACTATATAAATTTAATAAATACTAAATAGTAAATAAAAACTAACAAATAAAAGTGACTTAAATGCAAATGCTAGACTTACAAGCCATCACCAAATGACTTAAATATGAACCTTAAATTTATGACCCATCATTTAATGACCTAGGTAATTAATAACAAATATTCCTATGCAATGACTGACAAAAAAATACAAATGGGAAAAAACATTTTTTGCACCTGTAACTAGGATATATTTATATACACTGTCTCTAATACTGTGCTCTTTTAAACTATATTTTATTGTTTATAATAAAAATAATTTGTTTCAAAAATAAATTTGCACAGAAAAATCCTATAAATTTACAGAATTTGAGATTTTTATTTGGATGATTTTGTCCTTTTCTTTTTGCAAGTCCAACAAAAATAAAAATAAACAGAACAAACAATTCTAAATCAAAAACAATTCCTGCTTCTATTATACAACTTTAAAATATCAGTACAAACATTTTTTTTTTTTACATAATATTACAAAGTATGTAAAAATCAAACACACATAAATAAAAGCTTTAAGTGCTTTTTGATTAAAAATAGGACAGCAATGGAAACAAGATCGTTTCAAATTAGGAAAAAAATTAATTACCTCCCTTGAGTCAAAGCTAAGGCGATTACCTGCGTCAAACATTGAGATAGACAAAAAGCAACTTTGAGATGCAGCATACTTTGCGAAATATCAAGATTGGCTTACATGCAAAATCTTGACCAGACATTTTGAGTTCTCTAAAGGAAAAGTTAATATATAAAGCTGAATTTTTAGGGAGAATCTAAGTGTCTAAAATAAAATATATTTTATTATTTTGTTTCGTTTGATTTGCAATTGGAAATTTGTGTAAAGATCTTATCCTTAATATCATCATTTTTCATGGTGAGTAAATTTAATTAAAATGTTTCTTATAGAAACAACAATTTGACTAAATATAGTTAATTTTAATATTTTTTTGACAAGGAGAGTATGTTTTCTTTTTTCTTCCCTTTATGTTATAATTTTCACATCCTGCACATTTCTCATCGTTGTCTTGCATTCATTGACTTTCTCTTTGCATGGAAGAAAGATAAATAATTATATATATATGTATTGGTACATTAATTTTTTCTTTTATAAAACTACTGTAATCTATTAACATCTGTTGCAGACCTGCTGGAGTGGGGAGGGCTTGATCTAATATAGGATATGGCCTGTGCACCCAAATAAAATGGAGTCACAGGAGGTCCACTAACATTTAAAAATAAAGACATGAATCTGACAGATCAATAAGAGCACAGCAAACAACAAACTTAAATTAATACAAAATTTATTTACATAATATACAAAAGTAGTGTTTTGGTTAAAGAATCATGAACAAACAATGACTCAAGTAAATGGAGGAATACTGACCAGATAGAACTAACAACTAAGAGAAATGTGATTGATTATGAAATCTAAATAAACTTATGTTGCATAGAAGGAAGTGGCATGATGCAACAAAGAAAAAGCAAAGGTCTCGAAGTAATAACTTGTCTGCTATGAACATGAACAGGAGTAGCGGGGACACTATAATATGATCTTTATATTTTAGCACACATAATCAGTGTAGAAAAAGATTTTTATATTAAAAAAAAAAAAAACAAAAACAAAAAAAAACAGCAACATCATGTAGACAACCAGGTGAGTTTAATGGGGGAAAAAAAGGACAAAATAACAGTCTTGAAAGACTGCTATATTTAGGGAGCAATTTTTTTAGCAGAACAAGGAAGAGAAAAACTTCTTAACTATATTTTGGAAAGAAAAAATATTAACACTTTTATTACTTTACTACAGTTCTTTATTTTTTACAGATAATTCATTTACAATATTTTTTATTTTGTTGGTAAGAAAATGAGAGAGAAAATTTATTTAAGGTATTTGTATTTAATAGGGAACATCAACTTTGTTGTGCTTAATAAGGCTATTTTGGTTGATGAACTTTGCAGCCTTTCTTTGATGTATGACACATGTGAAAACCTTCAAGGCATTTGGAAGAGAACTTTTCATTTTACCCAGGTTTGATTGGTTTTCAACTGGGGTAGCTTGCTGTTCTTCCCCAGAATAAATGTCATCTTCTTTAAAATTACCTGACTATATATTGACCATTTTGAAGTGCTTAAAATTTTCTTTACATCTTAAAAATGTTTCACTTGAAAGAGTTTAAGTCAAGAACCATGTATGTATGTTTGTGTGCATGTGTGTTTACATACATATATAATAAAAAGACTTAAACACTAATATTCCATGGTCATAATTTATTCCATTGGAATCGTAAATATGATCCAATTCATCAGACCTACAAATTCAAAAAGAAAACAGAAAAAACAACTCCGGAAATAAAAACAAAATTTAGAGAGAGTGAAAGTATGAGGTGTGGGACGAAAGTTAGAGCTAAAGAGAGGGGTAACAGACTTAGAGAAGGAGGATATATATATATATATATATATATATATATATATATATATATATATATATATATATAGTTTTAAAGTAAGGATAAAAGTGCTTAATATCAGAGTATATGTAAATATAAAAGTGGACACCTATGTCAACATGAATTGGCGACAGTCTGTTTAATGCTTAAACACAAAATTCAGGTCATGAAGCAGACTGTTGCCTCTCAGTGTCTAGAACAGGGGTCGGCAACCTACAGCACACGGACCACGCCAAACACTTCCAATGGCACACAGCTGCAAATGACATCACAAAGTCCAAACCAATAACTACTACAATGCAAAGATATTTAGCTGTTACAATTTTAATATATATATATATATATATATATATATATATATATATATATATATATATATATATATATATATATTATATTACTATATAAAATATATTGTAGAATAGGTATATTGACCTTGACTTGTATAAAAATATGTATTCTGTTGGCATACTGAATGATTTTAACACCAGCACATAGTAAAAGATGGCTGACCCCTGGTCTAGAAAATCATTTGGGTCCTGCTACCCGTGAAAATGATATACATTAATTTTTATGTGAATTCTTTCGGCCTCACAGATTTAAAGGCTATCCCTCAAACAAAATAAAATGGCAATGGGCCTGATCAACATGTGCAATTGCTTAATAAAAACCATAGAAATGTAAGGAAAAATTTCAGAAAGACTTTATCAGTTGAATTCAACAAAAGAGCATAAAATGAAATAATTCTTTTCATTAACTGACAGCTTGAGCAATTTTGAAAAGGTTTACTTACAAACTGTCCTTCATCAATACCAATAACGTCATATTCGTTAGCCAAATCCATAATTTGGCTGAGTTTTGATACCTGTGTTGCTTCAATATAATGTCTGTAAAAAAAGAGGAAAAAACTATAAAAAAAAAACAAAAAAAAAAAAAGAAAAATCAAGACTTATTTCCTTTTCTCTTTAAAACAAATCATCTTCATTTTTAATAAACTCTTAATTAATTTAAACAAACTTACTGCTGTTAAAGCAGTTAGTCATCTTAGTTACTTATATTTTGGATTCACTATTGGGTTTAGTAGATAACTTTGTACACACAATGTTACTTTAGTCTGGTACTAGTGGTGCATGTGCTGAGGCTGAGACTTACTCGACTAGCAGATTAGTTAACTGAGCAACTCTTATGCTGGTGGATGGTTAAAAAATAAAAGTGAATCAGAAAACAGATTCAGTCAAGCTTTTTATCATTTACTCCTCTTCATATTTTCAAATTAAAAGCAATTCTTTCCAATCAACACATTTGTGGGAGAGAAGTTGGGTAATTCCTGGACAAGGAATCCACTTTTTATCTAATAATATTGAATTAAAAACTTTCAGACTGACAATATATAGATATAGAAGATATAGTAGGCCAATGAAAGAAATTCGAGAGAAAATAATAATAATAATATTGATAATAAGACTAATGGAAACATGACAAGAAAGATGTTAAAAATTGGAATTTTCGGACACGTGTGTTTATTGACAAGAAATAAAAAAAATGAAGTGGTACATTTTTAGGGGGATTTTTTTCTGCATGTGTTATATTACTGATGAGATCTAGTACTTTTAGGCTAGTTTAAATTTTTAACAATTATGTCTCATTCATTGTCAAGTATGAAGAATCTTTTGCATGACACCATTGCAGTTCAAATCTGTTCTTTTAGATTCTGTCATTGACTACATCCAAAGTCCTGCTGCTGATGTCTTCAACGAAATTCTGGCAGGCAGTGGCTTCTGGGCATTATGACTTGCCAAAGGGCAAAAATTCTGATTTTTAACATCTTTCTTGTTATGCTTCCATTTGGCCAAAAGGACTACTAATTTAAAAGAAATATTTTTAAGTCTCAGGGTTTCATGCAATTTTGAATTCAAAGTTGTCCTTCCTCTAGACTGAATTGCCAACCACAACTAGAGAAGTCCTGCTATTTAACCCATAGCTGGGAAGAGGAGGAGTCATGTCTTTCCCAAGAGAATTTGCATGTAAACGAATGTAATAAAATCTTAGCTCTACGATATCCCACTGGAGCCACCTTATCAAACAAAAGTCAGAAAGAGGAAAAGTATCAAACGAAACTTTAAAAAAAAACATGCCAATATATCTAAGCAACATTTAAGAAACAAAACTGTGTCAATTATTTTTAATACTTATTAACAAAATTAACAACTAAATAGTGATTGGTCCCAATTAGGTGTTTTGTATTTACTGTCACTTTCTAAACAGTAAAGCTGATATCATTCCAAATGATGCCCAGGTTGTAAGTCTACTTACTTGTCATGGGATGCAATATGTTTAGAATCATATCGATCATCTTTGTGGTATTTGAGTACCAAGCAATGGTATTTGGCTATTTGGTATCTCTTTAAGAGACGCATTAGTTCAGTGCTGCAAAGAGAAAATGAATAAAAGTTTAACACGTTTCAAGGAAAGAAGATATTTTTATGACAATAAATTATGAATGAATCATTCTTCCATAAAGCTGAATATCTAACCAACCAAAAGTGACTGAAAGAAATGACCTTGTAATACAGTGAAGTGGTCAACTCAGCATCCCCACCCCATTATATTGATTGATCGATTCATTTTTATGGTTTATTAACACTTAGTAAGTTATTTAAAGCCAGAAAATAATTTTAGATTGTAAGAATTTGGTGGGGGGGGGGAGATAATGATTTTAGTGATACAAGTCTTACTAGTTAACCCTTAGGTAGGAGAAGAGGTGAATTCATATCTTTCCCAAGGGTATTTGCATGTAAGTGAATATAACAGACCCAACTGAAATTTGAACTCTGCTCTCTGATTAACAATTCTGAGTTACTATCCATTACATCACCCACACATCAAAACTTACAGCACCAAGTGATCATCCATCTAGGAACTGACCAGGCTCAACGTTGCTTAACTTTGAATATATGAGCCCATTAAACTGCTGGCAGTCACAAAAAACACTTTTAAATATTTTTTTTCGAAATTTTTATTATTTATTATATTATATTTATTTTAATTTTGTCTAGAATTTGATTATTTGGGAAAAGCATAAGATAGACTTATAGCCAACAAAATTTAACAATCTAGCCCGATTGTTGCGATAACAGACCAAGTTAAAAATCACTGATGTTGTCTAGAAGGAAAAAAAAGAAAGAAAAGAAACCTTTCATGATTATTTGTAAAGTAATACTTACAAATAATTATATGTTAAACTAACTCTGCTTTTGGTGTCTCATAAGTACAATTTATTACTTAAATTTCACAGAGTAACAGGAATTTAAAGTTTACTTACGTCTTTCCACTAAACATGGGTCCAATAATTAACTGAAAGAAAATTAAAAATTCATTAATGGCAAAATGACAACATACCACAAAACTATTTCAAATTTACATGGAATAAAACTTAAAAGTATTCATTCATCTAATCTCAGAAAAAAAAAGCAACAACATAAAAAGCAAGACTGAGATGCCTCAGCAACATTTAGCAAGAATTACAACAACAAAAACAATCTTTTAACTTGGCTTGCATTTATTTCTAATGAAACAATATTAAGCAACTTATACAGAGGCAGAGAATGGGGCTGAAAAGTTCTTCATGGATCAAGAAACTCACTTTCCAAAATTGACCAAATACAAGAATTTATTTTCCAATGTATTCCTGAATTTCTTTTTCAAGTATTATTTTCATTTGATTTTAGTACCTAGACAATAATTTCATTTTAGTATTACTAAAAATCAATTATAATTTTTTCAAAACATATTTTAAGAAAATCAGAAATTATAATGTTTATTTAAAATATTTTGAAACAAGCTTAACTTAGTTTCTGCGCCAAAAAGATGTAGTTTGAAAATAAAACAAAGCAGGTCATAACATTTTGTGTCACTTGACAGGTGACGAAAGACATTTTCATGACGTTTTGATAGCTTACGTGAGGATAATTCCTTCTACGAAAGGAGAGAAGTGAAGTTATTTAGATTTAAGTGAACAAATTATTTACCTCGTTATCTTTAAGGAAAACTTTCAGCACTCTAATTTTTTTTTTGTACTTAGCTTTCACCTTAATGTTTACGATGCTTTAGGGAAAATATATTATAAAGAAATTAAAATAAGACTGTTGAGAGTGAAATTAAATTTCATAAGAAAGGTATCTAATTAATTTGTAGCGGTTGTTTACATACACCACGCCCACAAAATACTCAATAGCCATTGGATAGAAAATAAGCACTATTTTCTATAGGACAATTTATGCATCGCATCGCATGAGCCACATCAAATTTTCTGATGTTTACTTTGCCAAACCTGGTTTAGAAAAAAATCAGTGATTGGTTGATTTTTGACCAATAATATAACACTCCTTTCAATATTTTTCCTGCTCTCGTTCCTAGAGCCTATTCAGAAAGTATAAATAACACAAAAATCAAAGAAAAGAACAGTAGTAGAACAGTAAATCTCCAGAGCTCAACCACGTACATGAATTCTCATTCTTCTACTCAGACACACAGACACAAAATTACAATTGCACTTCACTGTGAACTGTCTGTCCAAAAAGCCAAGTAACCAACTCAGAATTCTCTCATTCTTTTGTACAACTTTCTCATACTTAAACTCAGTTATCACATATTGCTGAACTCTGAACATTTTAAACAAGAAAGTTCTTTTAACACATATTTACAATCTCACATCAGTACAAGGGAAACTACTTCCTCTTTCTTAACTTTGTTTCACCAAACACAATTGTTGTACTAAACTTTTTTTCAATACATGTTATTGTTGATTACTGAATAATCTTGTTATTCCTACTTTGTGTTTCTTTTGTAAAATTTAAATCTGATGTGCTAATCAAAACGCAACCTTCACCAAAGCCTTCTTAACAATTTTATACCAAATCTCATTAGCACATCACAAATTTATAAGTACCTTTCTTATTAAATTTTATCAGAAGTGTACATAAAATACAAATTTAAATTTCATAAGATGATACTGATACTTCTAGGTACCCTTCTCAATTGAAATTGAAAAATCAAATTAACTTCTCCACATATGTTTCGCAAAAATAAATCTATCTCAAAAGGACATTTACAAAACCGAATGCGGCTTTTAACTAATTTTATAATATTTCAACAACTTAAATGTAAAAATCTATTATAATTAAAGAAATAACAAATAATTGTATTAAAAATTCAGTATTTAAGTTAAATACTAGACAGAAACTCAATCCATGTGACTTTTTTTTTTTTATTGCACGCATGATACTTCCGGTCTTGCATAGATTTGATTTACAGTCTTATTATTGACACAAATTATATTTTTTTATATACTGGTGTTCGTTAGTTTGTAAAAAGCTTTGGAAATTATAATCTCTAAATATATATCTACTTAATAACATTCGTTAAATTTTTCAAACTTTTCCCTAATTTTAGAAGAATTAACAACATAATGTAAAAATAATAAAAATATTTCAGAAATAACAAATAATTGTTTTAAAAATTCATTTTTCATCAAAATATCTTTTTTGCTTTCAGACAATATTGTCCATGTTCATTAAAATAAATAAAAGCAATTAAAAGCTTTTGAAATTAAATAATATCAGGTCATCCCATAAGTTCTGTCCGAATTTTAACTTTTTGTTAAAATAAACGAAATTTAAAGAGTATTTTATAATGTCTAATGGAGCTAAACATTATTTTTATGTTTAGATGCATTTAAACTGATCAAATTTTATTTCAGAGAACAATAAAATTAAATTTTGTTTGATTAAAACCCTGCTAACATGGAAGTACCCAAGAATCATTTGAGGCACATAATGCTTTATGAGTTCAAGAAAGGAAACTCAGCAGCTGAAGCAGCTAGAAACATTCACTCAGTTTATGGAGAGGAATGTGTGAACGAAAGAACTTGCAGAAGATGGTTTGCAAAATTCAGAGGTGGAGATTTCACCCTTGAAGATGAAGATCGAACCGGACGTCCAGTTGAGTTTGATGAAAAGCTTCTTGAAGCAGCCCTTGAAGAAAATCCTGCTTTATCAGTTGAGGAATTGGCAGTGGTTCTTAGTTCAAACCATACAACTGTTCATCGTCATCTTCAACAACTTGGAAAAGTTCCTAAACTTGGAAAATGGGTGCCTCATGAATTGTCTGAAAACAACCTCAAATCCCAAGTTGACATCTGCTCTTCTCTCCATTCTCGCCAACTTGTCTCACCTTTTTTGGATAGACTTGTGACTGGCGACAAAAAATGGATCTTTTATCAAAATGTTAAGCATCGTAGACAGTGGCTTGGTAAAGGGGAAGGACCCCAGCCACAGCCAAGAAGGGAATTTTATGGGCAAAAGGTTCTTCTTTCAATCTGGTGGGATCACTAAGGAATAATCCACAAAAGATCAAAGAACTTGGTTGGGAGAAAATTCCTCATCCATCTTATTCTCCCGATCTTGCTCCTTCAGACTACCATTTGTTTCGTAGCTTACAAAATCATTTGGAAGAAACAGCTTTTGTAACACAGGAAGAGATTAAAACTGACGTTAGTGAGTTCTTCGAATCAAAGCCAAAAAAAATTTACAGTAATGGAATTAGTAAGCTTGTTAATAGATGGAAGGAAGTCATAGATAATCAGGGAAAATACATTGTTGATTGAATCTGTAATTAAATGTAACATTTGGTCACTTGTTTTCTTTATTCAAAATTCGGACAGAACTTATGGGATGACCTGATAATTTTGTTTTATTTAGTTTTGTATGTTACAATTCAGATGATTTTCAGGTAGAGATAGTCCAACTAAAAAAAAAAAAACATGATTTGGTTTCCTCAAAGCCTTGTGCTTTTAACTAATTATTAGTTACTAATATAATCACTAATCTTCCCAAAATTGAAATTATAGAGTTTTTGTACAATTAAGTATGTGGGTTGGGGGGATGGGTTTAATACATATGAAAAAAAAAATTTTGCCATGACTTTAAAAAAGGAAAGCATATTTATAATAAATTCCATCATTTGTGAATAGTTTCTGAAAGTTTCATTAAAATCCGACAATTATTTTTATTTTTGCAAGATTTTCAAAATTAATATCTGTCATACAGAAAAAAAAGCGCTAAAATTATTTTACTAGTTCCGGTGATAAAAAGAGAAACAAGGTTTTTTTTTAAAAAGAAGGAAAAATTTTTTAAAAAATAATTAAAAAATACTTTGATCTTTCCTCTTCGTCTTAATAATCAAAACCGAAAAATAAGTTCGTTTACATTTCTCTAAAAAAAAAGACCAATAACATCAAGAAGTCTCCTTCCTGACAAAAATCAACCATGGTGAGATTTGAACTCAGCTCTCATGGTCAGAACACACACACATGACTCTTCCATCGTTTATTGATATATAAGGGTCAAGCAACTTAGTTCCAAGGAACCGACAGCCAGACACCAGCACATATGATTTGATTATAGTGATAAACTGGTACCACACTTTTTGAAGAACCGAATACAAAATGTGCCACAAGGTCCCCAAACGACCCTCCACAGGTTTTTAATTTAGAGTTGTTCTTCTAGACTAGTTACCATCCAAGGCTATAAAATCCTTACAACGTAATGCTAATCTACAAAAATTATTTCCCCCAAAAAAGATTTTCGTATTTTTTTATGAGTGGACCACTGTACCTAAGTAGTGCCTTGTTTGAAATAAGCTATTTCATATTAAAAAAATAAAAGAGGAAAAAAGCTATTATTTGTTGACGATTATTTTTCTTTCACTTAAATTCCTACACCCTACCTTTTTTTTTTTTTAAATCCCAACTGATCATCAAATTGTCATTCAACGACCGTTAAAAACAGCGCGGATCGGAAATGAAAAACAAGTTCCTAGAGAAGATTCGAACTCGCATCCTTTTTTCACCTTAAAGTACTTTTGCCAAGTGACCTTTAGGGATTTTTTAAAAAACACAATCATAAGGAAAAACTGAACTGGAAACAAAATCCAGTTTTACAGAGAACAAGACATTCAAGATGAAGTAAAAACAAAATGATGTTTAGACAAAAATTCAAACAATAAAGCCGCTATTTAATAAAAAAAACAAACATTTTTTAAAGAAAATAAGAGACTTTCATTTGTTTTTTATGAATGTCGATGATGACGTGAAAAACAAATTCGATTATATGAAATATGATTTTCTAAAGTTTTTTTTATTTTTACTTTTACACAGGGATAAAAAAATTTCCTTTGTTTGAAATTGAAATCAAAGAAAATTTTTTTTTGTATATTTAAAAAACGATTAACTAATTGATGACTTGTTATTTGTTCATTTTTTAGATTTATTTTGTTAAAAGAATATGTGTTGGCTCCATAAAATTTGGTCTAATCAGGCAAAATTTGATTTAAGCTTCTTACATAGTAAATTTATTATTAACACTTCTCTTCATTGTCATTACAAATTATCTTTTTATAAATGTCCTTTACAATTCTAGGCCTGATTTTTCTTGGTTGGATAAATTTAAATAAAAGAAATTGAAGAAATAAAAAAAATGAAATTATTGAAAATTTGTAACTTATAATTACAGGTTTTTTTGACACTTTATTCATCTTCGTGTTTGTACGTTTTTGAAAAATGAAGTGCAAAAAAAAGCACGTTATTATTTTTACGAACAGCGATATCGAAATTGGAGATCTTAAATAAAAAGTTTCATTTTATTAATGTTTGTTCGATTTTTCTTTTAGCAAGAAATAAAAACACTTACTTGTATTCGCCCCGCCATCGAGAAAATTTCTTCACGAAAATAAAACCCAACTGTTGTTTTTTTATTTAAAAAAACCCGCCTCCTTTCAATCATATCTTCGTTAATTTCCGTCTTTTTCCGTAAAATTCCTGTTAAACAACTTTTTTGGCTTAAGACTTTCGGGTCCCGAAGCGACAAGTCGTGTTAGTGAGGGAACCTGAGGAATGCATAGGAAGACTGCTATAGACACTTAACAGTTTTTTTTAATTAATGTTAAAACAATTTTCTCGGATGTATTTAATTTAAGATAACGAAGAAAGACGCCACGTTAAACACAAATTTTATTTATGATTATTCGATGAATTACAATTAATTAACAATTTGAATTAAAACTTTTTTTTTTACTTTTTAGAATGAAATCAGTTTCGCAATTACAAATGATCATTTTCTAACAATTTAATTTTTTTCTAGGAAGTTTCCATGAAAATTGAAAATATATAGCGAGAGAAGGGGTGGAAGAGATTTTTTTCTTAATAACGATAACCGGAGGCAGGGGAAGATCAGGACAGACAGGAGAGAACATCTGCCAAGATGTCACTGTATCGAAATGAAATCAGTTATGTTCGTTTTTTTGCAGATTTTGTATTTAAGCGAAGTAAAGTCGTGTCTAACTCGGATCGCGCCAGTTTTCAGTATCGGACTTTTCATATTTTGTTTTGTTTTTTGTCACTTCACACTTTACAAAGTTTACACTTTACAGTCACACTTTTACACACTACTGACTACAGTGAGGTACCACCACAGATTTCCTTTAAAAATTAAAAATAGCTGAAAAACGCATTTAAATGAGCCTAACCCTAAAGTTAATCCGTAAGAATTAATTAACGTCCTTAAATAAATATTTTAGATATTTTTAAACAAAAAAAGTAAAATTAAAAACAAATTCACTTCTACCCAGTTCGATTAACAAATTTGAATAAATAATTTTAAAATCTCTTTATGTCCCAGAAATTTGTTTCGTAAAAAAATAAGGATTAATTAATTTAATTAGATTTTGTAAAAATATTATTACTTAACTTTTGCAAAATATTTAACGAAAAATAGATTTTTTTCCCAACAGATGTTCATACGCTTGTCAACCAATCCAACAACATATTTATTAATATTATTAATTACTGTATATAATATACAATAATTGTGGCACATGGCCGAAGGGGAAGTGGGAGAGGCTGTTCTTCGCTAACTATCCTATTCCTAGTTAATCACGATCATGACCCATTCATCCAATACAATTGCACCATTTACCACAAGAACTCATTCATCACCATTCAATCCTACATATACCACATACTCACCTGGGGAACCCACAAAAACACACCATGATATAATAAAAGTTTCAAATTTCTAAATACAAAAATATATAAAAATTTCATGAAGCATGAAATGAGGCGAGAGGGAATGAACCCCGAAAACAAACTAAAATTGGAACAAAAACAAACTAAAACAAAACAGATGTTAATAAGACCCGTCCACCCCTCAAAATAATCAGAGTGGCTGCTGTATTCTGCCGATAGATCCAGCCGAGTTGAAAACGGGGACCAAAAACAAACTGGGGAGGTTGGGAATCTCGACATGGATCATAACAAAAGAGTGCCAGGAGCAACACTTATTCAAATTAACGAGGCAAACCAAGAGTGTCTAGCTTAACTAGTGGGAGGGATCACAGGAAACCGCCCCGTTGCGACCAAGTGGACGTAAAAAAAAAACTCAGTGTTAGCCTCTTTCACACAAACTAAGCTTGCTACTTTTACCCACCTTTCGCTGAAATCTGTCGATATCAAACGCTTTCTATCACTTCTGATTTTCACTTTCAGCTGATTCTGAAAGAATCTGACCAGAGCCTGATGAGAATAGCGTTCGTATCGCAAGATTCCCTTCATTCGCGATGTCCAAATCACCATTCGCGCCACAGCTAGCAGCGTCAGAAACACCATTCGTTTCTCCCCAGAAAACGGGGGCGACACATTATCGCACACGTATGCGAGATCAATGAGCACGAGAACATCGGGAGCGATACGAGCCGTCAACTCGCCGACATAATCCCAGAAAGGGCGTACCTGAGGACAATAGTAGAAGGCGTGTGAAACCGTTTCTTCCAAGCTAAGGTCACACCGATGACAGTCGGGCAAATCCGCCCAGCCCCATCTGAAGAGCCTGTCATTGAGAGATAGCGCGTTCCGAATCAATCGCCAGGTAAGCGAAAACTCAGGGTTACTGGGGTAACTCGCCGCTGGCGCCCAAGACCAGAAAGAGCGCAACAAGCCGAGCCGCTCACAAAGAGGATCCTTCGCGACCCCCTCCACTAATTTATGATACAAGACCTTTCGAGACCGTGAAAGGTCACGGAACCGAGAAAAGGCCCTCAAGGCCGCTCGACACTCGCTAAGAAAATCGATAGTTTCCCGGGCCTACGACGACGCTTAGCCCAGGAAATGGAAGGAGTGATAGTAAGGCTAGGGAAGGCGTCCCTAACACTCCCCACCAAAATCGAATCCTCAGTCAAAACGCGGCGTAGGAAAGCCAACCTAGAGGCGTGTCGATGATTCACCAAGTGTGGCATTCCCAGTCCCCCATGAACGGACGCTGGACACAGAATTCTTTACGGACCTTTGCCTTGCGTCCACTCCACAAGAGGGGGAAGCTCTACCCTTCAAGGACAACCTCCTTCGAAGCCAAGTTGCGACTGACGCTCCGACTTTTGCCTGTACTTCTGACCAATTTTTCTCCAGCTGAGGTCGGGTCCAAACCACACTCCGAGAATGTGGACAGGACCGTCCGTCCAACTAAAGGGCCCTGGAAGAGAGACCTCCTTCCAGGAACCTAACCGCAAGCCGGAAGACTTGTTGCACTTAATCTTGGCCCACATGACCTTTTCGTACCGTTCTGTTCCATCTCAATGTCGCTGCGACACGACACGAAAATGGATACGTCCACAGTGTACGCGGAAACCTTGGCTCGAGCTCTACCAGGGACAGCAATTCCACGTAGGACCGGACTTCTCGCCTCGTCCCTTAGCCGGCGAAGGAGAGGCTTCAACGCCAAAGCGTAAAGTAGGGGCGACAGTGGACAACACTGACGAACTGACCGAGACAGCGGAAAATTGCGCGACCGCTTCCCGTTCACGTGTACCACAGCACTGGGGGAGCGATACAGGAGGCTAATCCACTTACAGAAGTCGAGTTGGAATCCGGCGTCTTGCAGAACAGCAGCCAGGTACTGATGATCGACCCTATCAAATGCCTTGGACTGATCCAAACTGATCAGCGCGGCCTCATTGTTGTCTTTTACTCCCTCTAGGATCGTGCGGATCACATGCAGGTTGCCCTGAATTATTCGGCCCCTCACAGCACAAATCTGATCGAACTCTCGGCAACTGACAGACTCTCGGCAACTAACTGCAAACGCTCCGTCAGGATCTTGGCCAAAATCTTTAACTCTGTGTTTAGCAGTTATGGGCCTGTAATCATCTAATTCGCGCCCTCCATCCTTGCCCTTTTTCAACAGCGTGACCACAACCAGTCCAACAATTGTTAGTGTACAATCCCTTCGCACTAAACCTTACAAAATTCACGCCCAAAATCCAGTTTAATATGGAAAATCACACGTAGCACAATCTTGGCTGTTTCTATATGCGGAACGGAAATGCGTCAGCCACGTGATATAACTCAGTATTTTATTTTAGATTTTCAATTTTGTGCTTACAGAGAATAAAATATCAAACAATTGCAAAATGTGTTTTTTTAATTATTAAAAAAATGCTTACATGCGAAAATGACTGCTGCTTCCTTTTGAAAAAAAGATGAAGGTAGAATGCGGTTTTGATACTTTTTGCAACAAAGTGATCGATGAATTTGTCAAAAAGAAATAAAGATTTAGTTTACAAATAAATACTTTTTAAATATGTCATTATTTATTGATTTTATTAGATTTTTCGATTCTTCAACACATTTTTATATTAATTTATTATTTCATCAACAACCAAAACCTGAAAGAGTTTTAAAATCGTAGCCTATGTTAATTTTTTTTTTACAAATAAATATGCATCAAATTCAAATAGCATCAAAGATTTTTTACCCAACGAATATTTTTCCTGTGTAAACAAAAATATACAAAAATATTATTTTGTTAAAAGTTAAAACTGAGTAGCAGTAACTCTTAACAAAAAATCATTTTGGTGATTTTTTCAATTCTTTCCCTAAGATTTCGGATCATATTTTCGATATGTTTTGGATAGGAGTCATTCCCTTGTTCAAATCTAAATCTAATTTAAATCAAAGTGAAAAAAGTTTCAGTGGGAGGTGCCTCTTGGAGACCCCCTTTGATCAAAATGAAATATACTTATCCAAGTACCCTAGGAGTCATTCCCTTGTTCAAATTTAAATTTGATTTATATCAAAGGAAAAAAATTCAGTGGGGGATTTGTACCCCCACCCCGGGAACTCCCTTTAATCAAAATGAAATATACTTATCCAAGTACCCTGGGTAATGTAGTTTCAGAATATATATGGTTATGGGGGTCTATCTCCAAAACCCTAGGAAGAGTTTTCAGCATCCCGCTACCACTTTCTTATCAATGTGGAATTTTATTCATCTTCATATAGATTTTCAGGAAATATCAACTTCTAATTGCTCAATACACACAAGTGGGCGTTGCAATACACCCACGTACAAATATTTTTCCAGCACGTGACCAAGTCAAATTTTCCCGCCAATTTTCCTTTTCATTTTGGTTACATTAATTATAAATAGCAGACACATACTTGCTCTCTCTCTCTCGCTACAAGATGTAGTTGTAAAAGGATCTCGTCTCGACCATGGGTGGTCAGACGTTAAAAGCATATTCACGCATGCACGTACGTACAAAATTTTCCAAACTACATTACAAACATACGAAGCATTTTCAAACAAGCAAGAAGAATTTTTCTCTTTGAAATACTTTTCTAAAGCTACAGTTTATTCAGCATTTCTCAACTTTATAG